CACTTAACTGTATCTTACCTCATTTTAAAAATATGTCGTTGGGGCTGGAGTGATAGCATAGAGGTAGGGCATTTGCCTTGTCTGAAGCTGACCAGGTTTGATCCCCAGTATTCCTTTTGGTCCCGAGCACTGCCAGGAGTGATTCCTGAGTACAGGGCCAGGAGTAAGCCCTGAACACCACTGGTTGTGACCCCAAAAAGCCAAAGAAAATAAAATCCTGTCACTTGGGAGAGGTAATATGGTGGATAAGATGCTTGCCTTACATGTAGCCAACTCAGGTTTGATACCTTGCACCATGTTATGATTCTCTGAGCACTGGCAGAAGTGATCCCTGAGCATAGAGCCAGGCATAAGTCCTGATACCTTCCTGATACATACCCCCAAATTACTTCCCTCTTATAATTTTTTTAACCTTTGCTGATTCAAGGTTTTGTCTAATGAAGTAGGATTAGAGAATGTGTAGGTCTTGCTCACGAATGTCTCTGTGTGTGTCTGTTTCTAGAGATGTATCATTATGATTTGTGATTGTGCATATGTGTATGAGTATGCCCATGGTGCCAGGAATAGAACTCTGGTTACATGCATGCAAGGCGTGTACTTTACTGCTGAACCATATCCCTGGTCTATGAAGGCATGATCTTCCACTAAATATTCTAGTCTAAAGCCGGTGACACATTATATACTATGTCTAATATTACTTTGTTATAATGTTACTCCAATTCCAGTAGGCTTGGAGATCTCAGCCCTGGAACCCGCGTGGCTTTGTCCCTCTGCCAGTACCTTCATGTGTGCGGAGAGTGGTCGCATTCGAGCATCCTCCACCCAGATCCTCCAAATTCCAGTAGGCGGGGGTCACACCCACCACCTGGCCCCCTGGCGCCATGTAATCCCATCAACGGCCAAGACTCAGAGACTACAAAATGCAGATCCCGGACTAGACCAGTGCAGTCAGTCTCCTGCCCCTGCACCTGGCTGTTCCTCGCCGGGGTCCCTTGGAGGGGAGCGGGTTGAGCTTTCCTCCCCACCCCGACCAGGGCTCCGGCAGCCGAAGACCTCCAGGACCAGCCACCACTACAAAATGCAGATCCCGGAACCGCGCGGCCGCATTTTATCAGAACATTTTATCTGACATCTTATCAGAACATCTTTTTATGATTTCTCATTATCTCATTCCTATTCTGGACAAATTGCAGGCTATCGAATATAGCCTGCCCACAGGGCAGAGTCTGGCAAACTCCCCGTGGCGCACCAAATATGCCAAATACCAGTAACAATGATGGGTCTCATTCTCCTAAAGAGCCTTGAATATAATCTCAGGGCTAGGATGAAAGAGACGTTACTGGGGCCTGCTCGAGGCAATCGACGAATAACAGGATGATGAATGAAAAAATGAATGAATAATGTTACTAAGTGTGGTCCCTGTCTTGGGAGGACCACATCTGTGGCTGATGCAGAAAGCACTTTCCTCAAAAAAGTGCTGCAGTTGTTCACATTCACGTTTGTAAACATACATGATGCACTGTAGTACTGTCCTCCCGTTGTTCACTGATTTGCTCGAGCGGGCACAGTAACGTCTCCGTTGTGAGACTTGTTACCGTTTTTGGCACATCGAATATGTCACAGGGAGCTTGCCAGGCTCTACCATGTGGGCAGGATACTCTCAGTAGCTTGCTGGGCTCTCCCAGATGGACAGAGGAATTGAACCCAGGTCGACTGTGTGCAAGGCAAATGCCCTACCCTCTGTGCTATCACTCTAGCCCAAACATACATGATGATAATATTTATTATTATCACAGTAGATAAGGCCTTGCATGCAACCAACCCCGATTTGATTCCTGGCATCAGATAGGGCAGGAAAAATAAACTACCTTTTTTAATTTATACACTTTTAATGAATGTACCAAGAATCTGAAAAACCATGGAGTTATGATTCCTTTATAAAACAGTTATTAGTTATTCCAGTAACTACCCACCTTACAATTTGGAGGCAAAATTTTATTTTTATTTAATTTAAGCACTGTGAATTATAAAGTTACAAAGTTATTCATGATTGGGTTTCACAAATCATGCATATCACTTTACTTCCATTCAGAACCTAGTCCTCCTCCAGAGTGACCACTTCCCTCTATCACTGATACAGGGTCCCTTCCCTGACCTATCACTGACCCACACCCTGGCAAGATTCCTACCAAGGACCAATTTCTCCTGCTCTCCCTTTCTATTGTTTTTGGGTGTCAGTTATTCCCTATGTTTCTTTATATTCCACATATGAATGAGATCATTCTGTGTCTGTCTCTGTCGCTCTGACTCACTCTCCAGACCCACTCTCATGTGTTAGCAAATTACATGACTTCAATTTTTCTGCCAGACAAGAAGTATTCCATTGCATATATGTACCATAGATTCTTTATCAAGTCATTGGTTCATGGGCACTTGAGGCAATTTTTTTAAATTGGATATCAAGTACCAGTATCTTCTAATAAATGCTGATAAGTGGTTACATCCTAATCCCTATTAATTTTAGCATCATATACACCACATACTCAAATTCTTCATTTTGCACAGCATAAGAAAACTACTGGGAAATCTGGGTAACCAGGACAAACAGTGTTATACTGAGCTCCTGAAATTCTGATAGGGAAACTCAGGACCAAACACTGATCTGCTTTAGGAAACATTTCTACCAAACTCAGCACAGGAACAGATTGATTTGAAATGTTCAAGACTTATTAAAACGCATGACTGTGACTCCAATTTGGGATGCTCTGTATATATAGGATATAAAAATCTTTCCTCCATCTATAGAATGTTAAGTTGACGCCCAATACATTCCAAGACTCCATACCCAAGAGCTACTAAAATAACTCACATTTACAGAATAGTTGATAAAAAGTATTCCTTCCTCATGTGTTAGATATTCTAAGAATCATGTTTGGGAAATTTATAGGGATAAATAGAGTAAGGCTAATTCAATGGGGTCAGGATCTGGGAGTTAGCAGCATGAGGTTTTAAAATGTGTGCAGGGGTGCAGGGCATGTCCAAGGAGGTCAGGCCACTGGTGTCCTGGGCTTGGGTCTCTGCATTCTCTGCAGGTGTGACTTCTTGTATTCCACCTGCTCTCCCTTGGGTGTCCTCTTCCCTTTTTCAATTTGCACACAACTTTTAATGAATGTACCAATTGCACTTTTTTGTCAGGCAGTGGAGCCGGCCTCATCTCCCGTTGGCAGGGCTTCGTGGAACCCAGCCATCTGCTTTGGGCTTGTCCTTGCCTCGAGGCAATGCTCACCTCCTGTACGCAAGTGACACGGAAGTGGCCCAGGCCTCGTCCTGCGCCGTCAAACTGTGACCACCACAGGGAGCAGTGAATGGAACCACGTTGTCCACCCAGACTTTTCTAGAAATGACAGGGGCTCCCTAAGATCAAAAACTCCTTTCTAGCTTCACCTTGGCTTACAAACTGTCCACATGTGCCTAGACTCCGGACAGGCCTTACAATTCACGCTTCTATACGTTTCCAATCCCACTCCCTGTACACACCTCGTAAAATCCCACACTGCTCACTCCCAAATCCTGACCCCACTGGGTTAGCCTTACTTTCTCCCTCTAGATTTCAAACACAATTCCTTAGAACATGTAGTACATGAATTATATTTCAGCTGTTTGGCTATATTATTTAGTTGTTTTATCTCCATTAAAAACCAAACAGTCCTTATAGCAAAAGTTAATTGTTCATTTTTCTGCCCTCTTTTTTCTTTTCTTTTTTTTTTTTTTTGGCAGAACAAAGGATTGAATCCAGGGCCTTATACCTGTAAGGCAAGTGTTCTACTGCTGAGCCATTATCTGCCTCCAGCCACTTATTACTGCTTAGTTCGTTTTTGCTTCGGTGTCACACCCATCTATGCTCAGGACACTCTCTGGCTCTGCACTCAGAGATCACTCTTGGAAGGGTTCAGAAACCATACGGGATGCCTGGGATTGAACCCGGGTCAGCCATGTGCAAATGCCTTACCTGATAAGCTATCACTCTGGTCCCATTACAGCTCAGTTCTTACACCAAATACTTGCAAATATACTTTCCTATGCCTCTCTATACTAAACTAGAACCCAATCAGACATTTTCCCTAGGAAGTGCATTGAGGTAGTAGTACAATCTTTCCCATGAGAGACTTAGTCTTCAAGCCTGGGTTTCCCTTGAACATGTTATCTTGCTTGTCTCTCTCGCGCTCTCTCTTTGCTTGCTTACACTTATCTCTTGTTCTCCTCCCTCATATTTTTCTGAGTTTCAGTAAAAAGTATCTTGCTTTACACACAAAAAAATCTTTCCCAAGAGAAACTGTATAATTTTGTATTTCATTTCAATGTTCAGAGACCTAATCAAATTATACTTTCTCAACATTGTGGAAGAAAATAGTTTCTCTTTTCAAAGTTGGGAGTTTACACAGTAAAAAGATGTCAGGTAGTGGAGAGGCAAATCAAGTTTCTTTTGTATTCAGCTTAATGTATAGTTCTAAGATTCAATATCCCAATTGTTGAAATGTGGTGGGTACAAATCTACCTTAATAATTGGCTTTGTTGCAAGTTAATGACAGAATTGTAATGCAGTTGTCACATGCTATTCAATAAGTTGCAATATGGGTAATACTTTTCCTTAAAAATTCCTTTATTTCATGTAATTATCAATTTACTCGACTATTTCACTGTAAAGGTCCTAGGTTTGCTTAGATGACTATCAATAGACTTGTGGGATTCACTTGATCAAAATTCATTTCCTATATTATTATGTTGGGGTTTTGGGGGCTACATTCAGCAGGGCTCAGTAAATCACATGGTATTGGGATTGGAAATCCGACTCCTAAATACAAAGCATGAGCTCAGCTTGTTGAGGTACCTCTGTCCCTATTTTCTGTATTACTGTATTTTTGTAAACATACTCACCAGACTGGGCCTGACACAAAATAATGTTTTCATTACTAATAGCTGTACCTTTATTTTTTGTTTTGGGGCCATCCCTGATGGTGCTTAGGGACCACACCCAACATAATGCTCAGGGGGACCATGTGGTGCAAGGGATGGAAACCAGGTCCACCACATGCAAACCATATACTCCAGCCCTCTGAGCTATCACCCTGGCCACTGCTTTTAAATCCAAAGTCAATGTAACTGTAGACCTCCCAGCCTCAGTCGACATTAGTTAATAAGCCAATACAATAAAAAACAATCTTCAGGTTTCTCTCGAGATATTTAATGCAAGATGCAGTGTAGCCATGTCATGAAATGCAATTACCAGAAAAAGGGTGGTGTCCCTACCCAATCACACAAAACTACTGATACAGTTAAATGCCATATATAGATGTATTTATGCTTAACTGCTTAGACAATAAGCTTTTCTTGAGCATTTTTTTTTCTACTTTAGGTTAGCACTCTCTGTAGGACTGTCCTCCCGTTGTTCATTGATTTGCTCGAGCAGGCACCAGCAACGTCTCCATTGTGAGATTTGTTGTTACTGTTTTTGGCATACTTCAGGTTATATGCTTTATAGATGAGACACTTAACTTCACTGGCTTAAGGGTTCTACAGACCTTCATGTCACCCATCCAATTTAAGACATGAAGACTTGGGCTTTGGTATAAATAACTTATTCCATGACAATATTTAAAGGCTACCATTAGTATTCATTATCAGTTCTATAGTCTTTTGGTAAGGGAGTGGCTAGAACTTCTTTGCTTTCAGTAAGTGCTCTGGGCTGATGGATAAACACACTAAACTTAACACCCTGGTTGTTGGCAGCTCGGACAAAACCACTATTGGCAGTCATTGTGATGGCTTTTAGGGTGTCGCCTGTCCCAAAAATTGTTAACGAGCGACTATTGATTTTTGAACTAGCCACTAGGCTCAAGGCACGCTCAGAAGGCTGGTCTGGGACCACGTTAATTCGCTTAATTAGCATAGTGGCCCTTTCTCTCTCTCCAGGTCCTCCTAGTGTATCCAGTATAGACTGAAAGTCCTTGACAGCAGATTCACAAGCAAACAACTCCTTGTCCTTCATAAACGCCTCTAGTTGTGGTAGAACCTGCTCTTTCCTCTCTTGCTCTGCTTGTTCCGTAAGCACTTTTTCCTTGAAGATAAAATGGCAGCCTCCATAACTGAGGGCAGATACATATGTGATTAAAGTAGTAATGTCCAGGTTTACTCTTTTGCACACATCAACCTTAATCTCTGTTGGAAATGCAACACTTGCTAATATATTGTCTCGGTCTACTCTGGTCACCTGCAAAAGTTCAGGGCCCTCATCATCAGATTCACTTTCACTTGGCTGGAACTCTTCAGGGTGATCTAACAGAGAGTTCACTGCTACTATGTCTCCTCTCACAGAGATACCCATTTCCCTCAGCTTCTCGGCCATGGGGCTGGAGACACTGTTATAAAAGGCGAAGATGATGTGAGGGTTGCTATACTGCACGGGCTGCTGGTGGCTGGCCTGAAGGAAGTCTTCGGCCTGCTCAATGATGCTTTTGTCACCATACTGGCCCCTGCCAAGCCAAATGTTATGCAGAGCTTCAGCCTTTCGGCCAATGGCTTTCACCCACGTATGACCACCATTTGCCACCACATCCACCACCAGCGTCTGCTTCTCTCCCAGGGAATCTACGTAACCGAAGACATGAAGAACACTAACAACTTCTTCCAGGTTTTCTGCTGATTCCACAATGGCTCTTAGGTGCGTCAGATTTGTGCTCTGTAAATGGGACTCCTTAATAGCTACTTTCCCAGCTTCTACTTTCTGCAGGAACTTTAATTCTGCCTTCAGTTTGCTGCACAGCTTGGCACCACCTTCTATGCCACCTTTTCTTGATCGAGAAAGCGATTCTGCTCTTTTGATGAGTTCCTTGGCTATGGCTATTCGCTCACAAAGCATGGAGTGTGCAGACATGCTGACAGCATTATTCTTTTCCTACAAGGGAGGGAAAAGAGATTGGTTGAAAGAGCCCTTAAAAAATACGGCAATTCTTCAATTTAGCACCAAAGCTTATGTTGGTGGAGCCGAAGCGTCTCGGCAGATGGAGTTCAGACTTCAGAGACACTCTGCCAGCTAAGGACAGGGAACCTGGCTACACTTCTGAGCTTTTCTTTAAACGTGCTGCACTCTGACTCGCTCCAGACCTTCACCTCTTGAGCGCGAATGTCTAAGTGCGCACTGTACTGTCTAGGTTTGGAGAAGATGGGAGCGTCTGGATTCCGGTCTATCAGGGCTTCCACTACGGGCAGTGTTACTGTTAACCTGTGGATACGTTCTAACGAAAGGCTAAAAAAGTCAAGACAAAACGATCCAGACTAGCCACACGGGCTCAACTGCTTAGTAACTCCCCCAAGCAGGGGTCTCTCAAGACCGGGCAGGAGGCCGTGCCCGCCTCTTCCTTGCTGGGGGCAGCCCGGCGTGCTCGGGGGTCACTCGGCGCCGCCCCGGGCATCCCTCGGGGGCTGCGGGCCGGGCCGGCCGGGCCACCTGCAGGCGCCGCTCCCGGCCGTGCCCGCGGCCCGCGGGAGGCCCGGCTGCGCGTCCCGCCGCTCGCTCGCGGGGTCTCTGCCGCGCCGCCCGCGCCCCGGCCCGCGCCCCGGACGCGCGAGCTGGCCCGGCCCGGCCCGCGCCCGCCCGCCCGGCCTCACCGCAGCGCCCGCACCCGCCCGCGCTGCTCCGCTCCGCGCCGCGCCGCCCGCCTGCACCGCCGCCGCCGCCGGCGCCCGGTCACGTGGCCGCCCCGCCGACGCCGCGCGGGGCTTCCCAGGCGGCAGCGCGGCCTCCCGGGCGGCCGTGAAGCCGCGCGGCGCCATGTCTGCTCCGGGCACGCTGCGGGCGGGGCCGCCGAGGGCCGCGCGGGACCCGGGGGGGCGGGGCGGCGGCCCTGCGTCCCGGCAGCAGGGGGCGCTGTTCCCGCCCGGGCGGTACCGGGCCGGGCCGCGGGGCGGCGCTGCTGCTGCCCGGGAGCGCGCCCGGCGCTCGGAGACGCGCCGCCTCGGGCCAGACCTCCGGGGAGCCGCGGTCGGCGTGCGCTGCAGCGCGCGTTCTGGCCACGTTCCGGTCAGGGGCTGAACGGGCTGGCCAAGAATGAGCAGCCTCGAAGACTTGGGGTCAGGGCTCAGGCCGGGGGCCCGAGGCCACCCGAGGCGGAGCCGGGCTGCATCCCGACCAGCCGGTGACCCTGAGCCCAGCGCCGGGAGCCGGCCCAGGCTCGGCCGCCTGGGTCCAGAAACAAGTCAGAGCCTCGTGATCTTTCCCTCTTCTCCAAACCTCACTTAACTAGGAGGAAAAGGAATAAATCCACGCAAAAACAAGCCCCAAGCCCCAGAGGTTTGAGGGCGAGACGCGGTACAGCTTTGGGAGACGAAGAGCAGCAACACATGAGTCTCCTTTTGACAACTGGGAAGGCAGACGCCCTCTACCCCGCCGCGATGGGGTTCTTGGAGCCGGGGGTACCAGGGAACTACCTGCAAAGGGAGCAAAATCAAAGGGCTCACAAGTTAAAAACCCCAGGAAGGGTGTGCAACTGCAGGAGTCTGGAAGGCAGAAGGGGAGCGGCGAGGTGAAAACGGGGCTGCAGAAGGAACAAGCGCTGCAGTCCTCTCCCGCCTGGCACCGCGGGCACACAGGCATTCTACTGCGCTGGCTTCGGGGTTAAACACAGGAACTGGAGTGCCTTGGGAGGACTGTCATGGTGTAACCCAATAAGCCTGAGCTCCCTGCAGCCGGGAGAAAGGACAAGCCAATACTATCCTACACTACTGGAAGGCCTCAGTCCGTATGTGGTGCCTGGATTGAACCAGGTTGACTGCGTGCAAGGCGAGCGCTCTAGACTCTGTATCTAATACGGTTCAGGCTCCGGAGCTCTTAAGGTTTTGATTCACAAATTGAACAGATAGAAATTATTTACGAGCCTTATCAGCAAATAGCGCTAGGTAGAAACTGAGGTCAATGTTAGTCTCCTTCAGAGTCCCCGCCCCCCCCCGTGACTTAATTTTTGGTGGGGGAGGTACTTCCAGAGGTACTCAGGTTTTTCTCCTAGCTTTGCACTCAGGGATCATGCCCCATGGCAGAGTGTGTGTGTGTGTGGGGGGGAGACCGTATCGAGTTTTGGGGATCGAACTCGAAGCGTGCAACCCTACCCCTGTACTATCACCCTGGCTCATAATTTTTGACATTTGCATATTTCATATCTAATGACTTTTATAAGCTTATATTGTAGTTCTGGGAAATACTGGGCAGTGGAATCAAAATTTTTATTTATTTGGTTTTGGATTATTCCTGGTGGTGCTCAGGAGGCTACTTCTGGCTCTGTGCTCAGAAATAATCCCTGGTGGGACTTGGAGGACCATATGTAGTGATGGAATTGAACTGAGGTGACTGACATTCAAGGCAAGTGCCTTACTTCCTGAACTATGTCTCCAGCCCAGAAATAAAAAATTAAAAGTAGTCTGAGTATCAGCGATACTAGAACAAAATTTATACTACACCAGAACAAATTATATTAAGCATTGTACCTTCAGACCTTCACATTGAAAACAGACTTCATTTTATTTTATTCAAGGCTTCTATGGGTCTTTATTTTCAGTGATGGTTCTGTTTCTACGAGAATACATGACTGAGAGACTGATGTGAGGGTTTTGACACTGTCAGTTTATTTGAACAGCACTCCTGTTCATCCCTGAGTCAGAAAGGGATACCTAGGAGGCTCCTTTAAAGCTCATTTGCCTAACTATTATGAACCAACAGGAACCTGTAAACCCATTTTTGATTATATCATTTATCCCTTATGGAGATTATTGTTGTTAAAAGTGTAACATGTTTTATTTGGAAATTTTGAGGTGAGGAGAGTAATGTACTCAAGAGAGAAAGCAGAGTGAAGAGAGCTCCAGTACACATTCCAGTGTTAAAGCACGAAGAGAAGCAAGCAGACATCCCAAGAGGGGATACGTGGAAGAAACGTCCTCGGGCAACACAAGTGCCCAGCAGCAACACATCTCACAGGCAGCACAGGTGCCATGAAGATTTTGGGTTGGTACTAGTTCTAGTTCAGCTCTCCAGGTATCTAGTAGGATTATGCTGATTCCATACTGAAGAGGCCCGAACAACACATCTCTGCTTGCAATCTCTCAGAAATTAGTGAGGGCCTGCATATTCTCCTAGTTCTATAAGACTGGTGTTTACGTAATCAGTATTGTGTTTTACTGAAGAATAAACAACACCTGGTAATTAAGGAAACAAGATTTAAGAAAAACTGCATGAAAACCAAAGTGATCTCACCATTCTACCTTGCAGTGTAGTTTCCAGAAAGTAACGATGATAAAAATCAGAAAATAACTATGTTAAATGTTTATTAACTCTTAAAATGCTTGAAATTGGGTTTAATAGTTTATTATGACTTATAACTGTCAATTTAAAAACATCCATTAAACCATGTAGAAATAAGTATGCAAAAAGTCTGCAAAACAAAACATACGTTAAACTTGTTTAAGTAGACTATCTGAAATTTCAGATTTTCAGTTTTCATTATTATGCTATGGCAGCCAAGTAATCCTTAACTTCTGTTGGAGTAAGTCTCCTAAATCCAGCTTCATTGCAGATTCCAACTTCTATATTATCTTCTGTCATCTGCCCCTCAAAGCTTTCCTATTGAAGAAGAGGAAAAGATTAATTTTCCAACCAGTTAACCGTAAAATCTCTTTAAATCCTATTGTGGTCCAGAGCCACAGGACAGTGGGGAGGGCACTTGCTTTGCACGAGGCTGACCCGGGTTTGATCCCTGGCATCTCACATGGTCCCTGGAGCACCTCTAGGGGTGATCTCAGTGCAGAGCCAGGAGTAAGCCCTGAGCACACTGCTAGGTGTGCACCCTCCCCCCTGCCACACACACAATATATCTATATATTAAACCCAATTTTAAGATCTTGAGATAACCTTTAGGGTTAAGATGGCTGTATGAATGGCATCTTCAAGCTCCAGGTCTTCATTATATCTAAAGAATTTTTAGGGGAAAAGAGAAACAATGATTCACTGCAGTGATACACATTAAAACTAGTTGAAGAGTTATAACAATTAGAAAAAAGACTAAAGACTCGAAAAAATACCAAACTACACATTCTTTTAGTCACCTCACTGAGAAAGCTATTCCTAAGTAACGACAATTAGGTACATTCTTTAAATAAAAATACTTTCAATCAGAACATGATAGAAATATAATCAAAACAAATAAAAAAAAAACCTTGCATAGAAACCAATCTCTGCTGAAAGCTTTATTTTACTTTTGTGCCAAAATTGTCAGGTGCTCAGGGTTTAACTCCTGGCAGCAACCAGGGATCGGTTATAACAGGGCTTAGAGGACCCTAGTAGTGCTGGGGATTGAACCCTGCGGTACCATCTCTCCTGCCCCAAATTTCTTTGTTCTTCTTAATAATGTAAAATATTTGACTTAATAATGTGTAAAGTGAAGTGATTAAGTGAATGTGTAAAAGCAAAAAGGTAAGTTTTTTTTCTTTTTGGGTCACACCCAGTGATGCTCAGGGATTACTCCTGGCTTTGCACTCAGGAATTAACTCTTAATGGTGCTGGGGGTACCAGATGGGATGCTGGGAATCGAACCCGGGTCAGTCACGTGCACCCACTGTACTATTGCTCGAGCCCCCGTAAGGAAAGATTTTCAAGACTAGATGTTGGAGGGATAGTTCAGCAGAGTGTCTTGCACACAGCCAACCTAGTTAAATCCCCAGCAGCCACATATGGTCCCCTGAGCGCCAGCAGGAGTGGTCTCAGAGCACAGAGCCAGGAGTGAGCCCTGAGCACAGCCGGGTGTGGCACCCAAACAAAAACATACAAGAATTCTATGAGCCATTTTACTATTTGATCCCAGACTGAGGCTTCTGTGACCGTCACATTTATTTAGGCCTGAGAGATAAGGCAGGGGTTAACCTGCTTGCCTTTCATGCAGTCAGTACTGATTTAATTCTTGCGCCCTCTTTTTGTACCCTATTCAATGTGGGTACCCTTGTACCTAAACACTGCCGGGAGTGTCCTCTGAGTACAGGGCCAGGTACAGTCCCTAAACACTGCCAGCTGTGGCAGCCCTCCCACCAAAAAAACAAACAGCAAAATTTCTATTACGTGAGGAACTGGAGGACAGTACAGCAGTTATGGAATATACTAAATTTGATTCTCAGCACTGAAGGGCTGAAATCACCAGAGGGTCATTTGGTCTCCTGAGTACTGCTTGTGAAGACTACCCAACACCCCAAATTTATGTTACGTGAAAACTGTACTAAGAAAGATCATCCATTGGATAAAATGTTAATTAACAAACTTTTTCTATTCAAAAGATAGGATTAAAAAAAAAATCTCTAAAAGGAGCACCAAATTAGGGTGTTGGGAGGATCCTCCAAGGATGGGAGATGCACGCTGAAAGTAGACTATAGACCAAACATGATTGCCACTCAATGCCTCTTTTGAAAACCACACCACCCAAAAGGAGAGAGAGAACAAAAGGGAAGGCCCTGCCACAGAGGCAGGGTGGGATGGGGGGGTGGGAGGGATACTGGATCAGTGGTGGTGGAGAATGGGCACTGGTGGAGGGATGGGTACTCGATCATTGTATAACTGAAACCCAAGCACAAAAATTTGTAAGTCCACAATTGTACCTTATGGTGTTTCACTAAAAAAAAAAAAAATCTCTAAAGAGATCCATTAGCCACAACTTTTCCGAGATATCCAATCCTGGCTGAGACCTCTGGGGCATCTTGGGAGGTGGGTGGGCCAAGTTCTACCAGCGCGGAACCCATACCCCAACAGGTGCTACCATGCCTCTAGCCAGACTGCCTCGTTAAATATTCTGGAACTTCTGGAGTGCGCAGTCATGCCCCATCTCCAAGCTATACAATAATAATATCCCAGTGGGAGCACAGCAGATTGGATGGGAACATATGTAGAAATCAACCGGTCTCAACCAACAGAAACATTAACACAGAAGCTTAACTCAAACAACAGTTCAGTAAAGCCTCAGACACGGACTTAATGTCCCCATGGAGAGATACTACAATTTTTACAAATTTTCTTTTAAGGAAAGGCTTTTTGATCATCCTGTTAGTCGTTTATGGGTAACAAGCAATATAAAATAAAGTATGTGGCCCTGTCACAGGTGCAGGCCTGAGGAGTGGTTGGGAAAATGGAGACAATGGTCGAGTGAAAGTGAGTGGTACTAGGGTTGAAAACTGAACACCTGTAACGAATCATCATGAACGACTTCGTAAAATACGGTGTTTAAATAAAGTGCGTGGAAAAAAGATTGGGACTTTTTGGTTAGAGTCTAGACCGCAAGCCAGGAGCAAGTGAGAGCAAGGTTTTTATGAGTGTGATACCAGTTCTTCTACATAACGTGACACTCTCGTCACATATGCATCATGGGCTAAAGAAATAGTTCACTGGACTGTTCATATTTGTGTGGAAGGCCAGGATTTGATCCCTTATATCTCAGGGTTTCTTGAGCAATGTCAGGAGAAAATTCCAAAGCCAGAAATAGGCCCCAGCTCTGACACACATGTAATAAAAACAAAAAACTCTTAAATTGTTTAAAACTTCCCCTTTCTGGCAAGCCACAGGACCCAAAAGGAGAGAGAGAGAACAAAAGGGAATGCCCTGCCACAGAGGCAGGGTGGGATGGGGAGACGGGGGGTGGGAGGGATGCTGGGACCCGTGGTGGTGGAGGATGGGCACTGGTGGAGGAATGGGTACTTGATCACTGTATAACTGAAACCCAAGCACGAAAATTTGTAAGTCTACAACTGTACCTCATGGTGTTTCACTAATTAAAAGGTAAAGGTAAAGGCCCTCCCGTTGATCGTCGATTTGCTCGAGCGGGCCCAGTAACGTCTCCATTGGAGACTTTGTTGTTACTGTGTCTGGCATATCGAATACTCTCGGTAGCTTGCCGGGCTCTCCGAGAGGGGCGGAGGAATCGAACTCGGGTCGGCCATGTTGGCCGCTTGTAAGGCGAACGCCCTACCCGCACTTTCCCTTTCTGTTTTTCTTTTTGAGATGGCAGGAGAAACTAAAAAAGACAAACTTGGGGGCTGGAATGATAGTACAGCACATAGGGAGTTGGCCTTGTATTTAGCGAGCCCAGTGTGATACTGGTACCACATATGGTGCTCCAAGCCTACCAGGAGTGATCCCTGAGCTCACCCAAGTGTGGGACCCCACCCCACAAAGAACAAGCATATAGCAAACCACCATGAAACTTAGAAAGATAACAAGAAATTAATATTATCCCTTAATCTACAGAAAGCTAAAAAAGTCAGGGAGGAAATAGTCTGATTTTTTAAGAAGGCTCACATACAGATCAATGCTCATATTATTAAATTAGTTTAAGAGAGCTGAAACTCAGAGTAAGCTTCCTAATGAATCTAGCTAAAGGCTTACCTCTTTTCGAGGAAAGTTTTTCCGTTCACATAGTTCTTCCCCATGGCTGTGGCTTTCCATGCAAAGTAAGCTCCCTAATTAGGAAAAAAAGAAAAATAGGTTTTACTTTGTTAATATCACATCACAACTACTGTTCTTATTTTTTTTTTTGCTTTTTGGGTTACACCTGGCGATGCACAGGGGTTACTCCTGGCTCTGCACTCAGGATTACCCCTGGCAGTGCTCAGGGGACCATATGGGATGCTTGGAATTGAACACGGGTTGGCCGCGTGCAAGGCAAACGCCCTACCCGCTGTGCTATTGCTCTAGCCCCTGTCATTCATTTTTAACTCTGTAATTTGTCCCTAACCTCTAAGGTCACATAATTATTCACTAGAATACCACATTAATGCATTTTTCAGGGAGAGAGGGGATCCCAAGCAAGTCTCGGGGAGCCCAGGGGCTACTCATGAAGATACTTGGTCAATTTTACTGTGTGGCTCAACATGAATGTCTAAGATGTCGTGCTAGTTGGGCCTTATGGTACCAGGGCCACACCATCAATGCTCAGAGGACCATGTGGTACTGAGGATCAAACCAGGATTGGACACACACATATGTCTAACCCTGTACAATCTAACCAAGTCCCAGAAGATTTTGAAAAAAGATTAGAGAAGGGTTGAGACCATGGTGGAGGGAAGCAGATACTCTGTGAAAGATGTGGGGTGAAATGTTGTTTGGATAAAGCTCCATTATTAGGGGCCGGAGCGATAGCACAGCCAGCTGGGCAGTTTGCCTTGCATATGGCCGACTGGAGTTCCATCTTCAGCATCCTGCAGGAGTAATTCCTGAGTGCAGAGCCAGGAGTAACCCCTAAGCATCACTGGGTGTGACCAAAAAAGAAAAAAAAAATCCATCATTAGCAGTACTGTAAACCACAATGCCTCAAAAGAAAAACAAACAAACAAAAAAACAGAAACAACTAAACAACCCTCCAAAACAAAAGGTAAGAGGAAGTGGGGAGATAGCTCCAAGGGCTGGCCTGCATCATGCCTAGCTCGCACAGGGTCCAGACTTCATTCTAGGCGCTCGACAGCCTCCCTGGTCCAAGAGAAAGCTAGCACCCCGATGATCCCCAGCAGAGCTGGGGAGCCCACCAAACACAAAACAAAACAGATTAGAGGAAAAAGAACAAAGGACATGAAGAAACTTGGATATGAAGACGTTCCTGAATGTGGTTTTCTCTATTCACCACTTCTATCAAGATCCATCAATTTCTATACTTCAAATGTGCAGTTTATTACATACCTTTAATGTAAAAATACCAGTCACAAGACACAGATTAATTTAAAGTACTAGTCAAGAACAAAAGTTCAGGAGGTCTGAAAGAATCACGTAGGGCATCAGGTAGGACACTTGTCTTACGTAGGGCCAACCGTGTCACGCCTCAGCACAAGTACTGTGAGCTGTGGCCCTAACAGCAATACCAGGCAACGAACAAATGTCATCTATATCTGAAAATTAATGACCAAATCTGTATCATTGGCGAATAAGTGAAAAAGAGCTTTTCATAAACAAACATTCAAAATTTTTGCTATTTTATAATGCTCAGCAAAAGCAGCAATAACATCACATTGGTTACCTTATTGGTTGCATAGTATACAGAAAAAATACTGAAAGAAAGATACCAATATATTTAAGTCTTTCTTTTCTTGGTTTTGGGACCACACCCAATGGTGCTCAGAAGCCACCCCGGCAGGGCTCAAGAACCATATACACCACTGGGGATCTTGATTACATGCAGGGCAAATGCCCTACCGGTAGAACTATTTCTCTGGTCCCCCTATATAGTTTAAAATAAATTATTACCTTTTAGGTACAACAGAAAAGAAAGGACAAAAGATAAAACTTGGATTCTGCTCCCTACTGATGAGGATAACTGAGGAATTGTCTCCGAGCTCAGAGATGAGTGTTACAGAGATAGTATAGCAGATAAGAGTGCCTGCCTTGTAAATGGCCCATCAGGGTCTGATCCCTGGCAGCCCATATATTCTTCAAGTCCTGCCATGAGAAATTCCTGAATGCAGAGCCAGGGGCAACACTTAAGAACTGCCGGATGTGGCCCCCAAATCAAAACCAAACAAAAATCCCAACCAACCTAACAAAAAGCTCAGCTATGTTGAATGATGGAAGCTGTCAGATTTCCCCAAATAATTTTTTATAATTTAAGCATCAAGCAGCAGAATGTTATCTTCTCAGTTTTCTTTTTCAGATTACAATTTAAATTTAGTCAACTTTAATTATCCAGCAATCTAAAAAGGATCAGTTCTATATCTTCTATTCTGGTTCCTAGAGTGACATGCAAGGATTCTAATTCAGATGCCAATCTCCAGCTTGAGAGCAGATAAAGCACACGTTCTGTAAATCACAGAACTTAAGACAGTTCAGTAACATCAGTGCCTGTACAGGAAGAGTTTCATTTAAGCCTGCCAAGATTTAACTAGAGCAGAGAGAAACACTTTATTCTATATCAAAAGATTTAATTAGACCTTCCAAAGTAAAAAAAATTCCAGGGATTCGGATTTGGTAAAAACTATTTTAACAGTGTCTGAAACGAATGAACATGACCAGAAAGAGGGCAGAATACAGCCTTATTAGAAAACTAATTTCCAACATCCTAAACGTGCAAATGAAAATATACTTCATACTTTCTAAAGCCTAGAGAAAACGATACTGCAAAATTTTAAGCATTTTGTAATTTTTATGTTTTTGAGCAACCCTGCAAAGTGCTCCGAGGTAACTCCCGGAGCTGCCAGGGACCAAACCAGGTTTGCAGCTGAAGTGGTGGCACACGAGCAAAGCACCTACTTCCTGTGCTACCAGTCTGGCTCGATTTCTATTTTTGCTTAGATAATCTAGTCATGAATGATCGCTTTAAAAAAATCCCCCCAATACATGTAAGGATACTTACAGATGGATCTGACTGAAATAAATATGGTCGTCCCTCATTCCAACCGCAAATAAGTAAAGAAACTCCAAAAGGACGAACACCACTGCAGAAACAAAATGAAAGTTATGTGATATTCATAGTGTTAACAACCAAAGGGAAGGCTGGAACTACAAAACGGCGGGAATTTGCCTTGCCCGCAGTCAATCCGGGTTTGATCCCTGGCATCCCATATGGTCCCCCAAGCACCACCAGGAGCAGTTCCTGAGTGCAGAGCCAGAAGAAACCCTGAGCATCACTGGGTGTGACTCCAAAAGCAAAACAAAACAAAAAAAAAAACCTAAGGGAAGAATCAAAGAGCTCACATAAGACACATTATCAGGGAGACAGAATCAGATTTTTAAGTTTCTTAAGTTACTTAACTGTAGATGCCCATTATGTTTCTTTAAATTTTCAGTGTCGGTGTGTAGATTTGAGAATACTTTCATAAATAAACAGATTTGAGTCCTATTTGCTGTACGTTAATAACCCCTGTACTCTCTTTGGCCTCAAAAGCACAACTTTCAATATATTTAGCTTTGCCATGGGCTCTACAATTAGCAGCTAACTTTATAATACCTTTTTATATTATATCTAAACTCAAGAATAGTGGAGTTAAAGACCAACGTGTCACAGAGTTTGTTTTCACTGTGTGCCTGCAACATATAATTTCCAACTGGAAGGATAATTTGGAAGCAGCGATATCCGCTCATAAAAAAGTATTCTGATCACTGGCAAAGGAAGTCTGTCAATCGAGAGCTGTATTTTTTTGCTATTTTATGAATAGCAAGACAACATTCCCATTTTTTCCTTAAAGTATTCCACATCTAATAAAACAAGCAATCATCACAGTTAACTTTCTCTACTTATTGATAAGCAAACAAGAGTTAAGCCATGCATTTTCATCTTTTAACAGGAAGAACGTCACTCACCCTGACTGGGTGTACTCCTGCATCACAGAAGCCACCCTCTGTACCAGCTGGGCTGTGGGAATGGGCTCCTGGTAAACAAGATAGTACTGCTGAGCTAATTTCCGGGCTCTGTGCACGAGCACTCTAAAGAAGAAAGAGTTAATTAAGACACGCTCCCTACACACCCTTATAGCCATACAATGAACAGCACAAGTTTTACATGCACATCTTCCATAGAGCTCTAAGCTCGTCTGAAACAGGCAGATACGGAGTTCAGGCATATTTTTCTTACTGCCTCTTTGTTTTTCTGGGACCACACTCAGCTGTGCTCACGGCTTATTCCTGGCTCTGTGCTCAGGATCATTCCTGGTGGAGGTCCGTGCTGGGGTTCAAACACAGGTTAGGCACAAGCAAGGCAAGTGCCTTACCTGCTGTACTATCTCCCATCCTGTCTCTTAATTTTCCTACAAACTGCACTTTTAAAAAGTACTCCAGAGGGACTGAAGCGATAGCAAAGCGGGTAGGGCATTTGCCTTGCAAGTGGCCAACCCAGGTTCAATTTCCAGTATCTCATAAGGTCCCCTGAGCACTGTCAGAAGTAACTTCTGAGTGCAAAGTCTGGAGTAATCCCTGTTACTTTTTTGGGCATTACCCAAAAAGGGAAGGGGGGAAAAAAATACTCCATAGATAACAAAAAGCAAAACAAAAACCTACTTGTAATTTTGCTCTAGGGGGCCCAGTAACGTCTCCACTGTGAGACTTGTTACTGTTTTTATCATACACTGCAGGTAGCTTGCCAGGCTTTGCTGTGCAGGTAAGGTACTCTCGGTGGCTTGCCAGCTCTCCGAGAGGGGCGAAGAAACCGAACCTGGGTCGGCTGGGTGGGCCACGTGCAAGGCAAACACCATACCGCTGTGCTATTGCTCCAGCCCACTTGTAATTAACAAATATAAGAATTTGTTGAAAGACAAGGATTTTATTACCTCATAATCTAATAAATTAGCATGATAATAGGATTTTCCATTACCACTGTTCTGAATTATGCACCTTATCTCTGTAATATTCATGCCCCGACCCTCAACCTCTAATTTCTGTGGTCGCACTCTGTAATATCCCTTTTATTCAGCCTAACAGGATTCATTCTAGTGAATCCTGATCACTTCCTACTGACATGAATTTTCCTTACTCATTAAAATTTATGACAACAAAACGGATGCTCCACAAAAATAAACCATGAAATAATTATTATTTTGTTAAATAATAAAGCTGTCACTTTCTTTCAATTTGCTGGCACCTTGATATAACAGGATTAATCTCTTTCCTGTGAAATATAAGTGATCACGAGATGATTTGGATCCTGATTAACTGCCACACTCAACAGTATTCCGTGGCCTCTGACAATTTGCTCAGTAAAAACAGAAATGTTGTAATTTTAACTATATATGAATGCTTTCTTTAACTACCCGACCGTTTAAAGGGTAGGGGCATGAGAGTTATACACAGAGATAAAGTGCATAGTTCGGAATAGTGGTCCATGAGGTGGTGGCACCTTCACACCTGGTGATGCTCAGGGAACCATATGGAATGCCAGGGATCAAACCTGGGTGGGTCACATGCAAGGTAAACGGCCTACCTGCTGGACTGTTGCACTGGCCCTTGCCTGACCTTTTAGAAGCATTTTATTACAGTATATATCACTTTGTTTTAAAAACATGTTATAGAGCATCAAAGGTGCTGCTGAACCAAGTCCCGGGACTGTGAAAGAATTGTGATAAAGAGGAAAAAAACACCAAGACGGAAAAGGAGTAAATACTGCACTAGTCTCCTTTTAATAACTGTGGTACTGAGCTGTCCTCCTCCAAGTAGTTCTCTTTTTTCCTTCTTTCTTTGAGCCACACCAGGACCAGGCTGGTACTCAGATCCCTGGCTTGGCGTTCAAGGATCACTCTTGGTTGGCCACCGCAAGAAAAAGTGCCCTAACTGCTGTACTATTTCTCCTGCTCCAATTCTTTTTTCTTCCCCCCTTTTTTGGGGTTACTCCTGGCTCTGCACTCAGGAATTACACCTGGCGGTGCTCGGGGCACCCCATGGGATGCTGGGAATCGAACCTGGGTTGGCTGCATGCAAGGCCAACGCCCTACCCACTGTGCTATTGCTCTAGCCCCTCCAATTCTTTTTTTTCTTTTTGGATCACACCCGGCAAGGCAGAGGGGTCACTCCTGGCTCTGCACTCAGGAATTACTCCTGGCAGTACTCAGGGGACCATATGGGATGCTGGGAATCGATCCTGGGTCGGCTGTGTGCAAGGCAAATTCCCTACCTGCTGTGCTATCACTCCAGGCCCCGCCCCTCCAATTCTTATCTGTCCTTTTCAGGCAAACTAAATCTAGCAGTCAATGTGGCTACTGTTCATAAGCAAAATACAAGAGGTAGAGCTGGGAGATAAGAAAAATAGCCTCTGATTGTTCTCTTCAAATAGATTGCAGGCAAGTTTATGTGGTGGCAAACAAAACAACAAAACAGTATGAAGTACCTGTAATCTGGGCCCATACCACTATACACCAAACCTATATGCTTGGTAATTGGTTCCACTTTGTGAACACTTCGCTCATCATACAGAATAGATTTCTGTTTCTTCTCAGTCGCCAACACCACACCGTTTGCAGCTTTAAAAAGGCAAAAAGTACAGCTTAAGTGTTTAATCATTTAAAGACTACTTCAAAAGCATTTTCAGATCACGAATGCAATTCTAACATGTCCAGACTCCATTTCCTCTTATTTTAGAACTATTTTTAAATACAAAAATCACCTTAGAAACAGACGCTCAATTTCTCCCTTACTGTAACAATGCTTTCCCCAATCCAATGCTTATCAATCGTTTTCCAATTGTGTTCCATCTCTGACGCTGTTTACTTCCTGTGGGCCCTCATCAACTGGCTGACCACCAAGTCCTGTGCAACAGACCCCAATTTACTCGATTTTCACTTAGGGCTCCCTCGGAATATCCTGGGGCCCAGTGAGGCCAGCCCTAGTTGAGAAATGCTGATATTACACTGAGAAATCTCTATAGCTAATGTTATTAAACGTTTCTCAAAATGTTCTAGGACATTTAAGAATCAAGATGCTCTCTTCTACCGTTTTTATCATTTAAAGTCAACAATTTCCGACTTTTCTTACAAGGTATCTTTTAGGTTGCTCCATGATATACTTTCCCTAAATTATAGGAAAGTTAAAAACTACTATAGAACAATGACATGTAAATGGTGGGAAAACAAAAGGATACTCAGATTTCTGAATCCTAAGACCATTTGTGGGCTATCACATCAAATAAAAATGCCTATCTTTTCATGAAAATAAATCTTAGTCCATCTTCTTAGGTTTAGTGGTTCATTTCTTTAAACTTCAAAATCAACAAAATACTACCTCTTGATCACAAAGCTCTTAAATTACTAATTCATTCCAAAAGAACATTAGGCCAACTATTCAGAAACGATGGCCGCATTTCCTTACCTTTAATCCCCACGGAAGGGGCTCCTCCAGCCACAGCAGCCAAGGCATATTCAATCTGGACAAGCTTACCAGATGGGCTTAAAAAGAAAGAATGCTATTTGCTAATCACATATTTCTCAAATACTTATAATGGGGACAACAATGAGGGCAGATACCTGTCAAATTCATGAATCAGACACTGAGGAAAACAAGGTGGGCTTTACTTTTATTTTGGGGGGAGTTCTAACTGCACTCAAAGATCACTTCCAGTACAGCCAGAAGATGTCTGTGGAGCAGGGAATCAAACTGGAACCCGCTGTGTGCAGAGGAGTCTTAATCCCTGTGCCAAGTTTCTGGCTCCCCAGGATGGGCCTTAAGTTGTTCATGATGGCTTCGGAAAGAGAACACTAGGATCTTTGTCTTGCATGAGTGGCCCTCTCCAATCCATCCCGAACTCTGCAGAGTCCTCTGCATCGCTGCTGGGGTCCTGGAAGCCCCCAGCACCACTGGGCTGGCCATGGGTACCCCAGCACCAAAACAACCTGCCCTTTTGGCAAATATGGCCTGGAGCGACCTGTGGGCTGCCCAGTACTGCTTGGGAAGCCACCCCTAGTCTGCCAAATTATCACAAAGTTGTACAGAAACCTCTCTGAGCAATTTGCACATGTTCACAGTGAAGCTCTGATTAGTACTCAAAGCAGCACCATTACTGTTGCTCATCCGCCCTTGAGATTCTGACCAACCCCAACTCTCTGGCCACCTGGAGACTGTTAGCCTGTTGGTAAATCAGGTATAGGATTTTGAAATACTAGGACTGTTTCAAAAGGCTGTTGTAAAGATTAAGTAAGTGGTACCTATACAATAGTATATAAACACTAAACAATGCTACTAAGAACATTTAGGTTTGTGCAAAAGAGAAAAGCAAGTATTTCATGTGGACAGTGTTGGACACAAGGCCCAAGATCTAAGTATAAATCATAACAAAGTTCTACGTAAAACTTTTGCTAGAAGTAGGTTACAAGCTGGTTATATCTAACAGATCTGAGTTCATGGGATTTGTACCAGACTAATTTTTTAGGTCATAATTTATTTCAACCTAGTTCCAAGCATCCTTAACATCAGAGACCAATCACAGAGAAAAAAATTTCTGAGCAAATGCAGTTTGTCCAAAGTAATACAACTAGAATCATATAGTCAACTACTGAAAAAAAAAAAAAACAACTTGAGTTTTAGACTGTCATCTGTTTTATCTTGATAACATGACAAATACTCTTTCTCACTCCCGTTTCTATTGAACCATCACACCTTGCTGCCCAGACTGCCGTGAGAATGAACCAAGCCCTTCGGTAAGCAAAGTCTCGGTGTGCAATGTGTTTCATTCCTGCCTGCCTATCTGGATTCACTAGGTAACCAATCACCTCTGATTTTCACTATCCATTTTCCTGTTCCAAAGCACCAGCATCTCTCCCTGGAATAACTGAAACACTAGTTTCATTTTCCTTCCACCTTCCATAGGCTCCAGAGTCACCTCTGAACTGCGCCAGACCCCATCTTAAATCCTGTAATAACTTCTTGTTCCATTTATTTCATTTTGGGGGCCACGCCTGGCTCTGCTCAGGATCACTCCTGGCCTTGAACTCAAGGGTGCGTCCAGGCGGTGCCAGGGTGACCAAACCCACGCCGGCTGCTGCGTGCAGAGCGAGTGCCCTACCTGCAGGCCCGCTTTCTGTTTCGCTTCCTACCGGGGACTGTCGACCGGTCGTGCCGCACACCGGCTCCGAGTTCAGTCCAGCACGTACAGCTTCTACCCGTCCCTCGGCAGAGCCGAAGCTCTGTCCCAGCTCTCGCGGACAAGTCCCCGTCCCCGGTCCCGACCCTTTCGGTCCACAGGCTCTTCCTCGACTTCCAGCCTCACGGGCCACCCTCCAACGACAGCCTTCCTGGCTGCTCCACCTAAAGCCACAGGCATTCTTGCCCCTTTCCATGAAAAAGCTTCTGAAAAACGTGTTCCAGCAGACATCCACGACCACCAGACCCTTGGCCACGAACATCTCCAGCCTCGCGCGCGGCCTCCCACTCGCACCACTGGCAGTTCACTCTGATGACGAGGGGCCGAAAGGGGGCGGCTTCGGCGGGCTGGGGCAGGCCTGGCAGTGCTGGCCGTGGCGCTGGCCGGAGGGCGGGATCGGCCACGCGCGGGGCGGGCAGGGGGACGGAGAGGGGCAGCACGAGAGGGACGCGGAAGTGGTCCCCGGGCGTGGGAAGAGGGAGGGGTGCGACAGGAGGCGACCTTCCGGCGTCTGCGCGTCCAAGGGGGGAGGGAGGTGGGCCGGGGCGGGGGGCGGGGGCGCCGCGGGGATGCCCGCTGGGGCCGGTGCTGCCCCCCCACTCCCGGGGCCGGCCCGCCGGGCGCGCTCCGTGCGGGCTGACTCAGCAGCGTGGCCCGCCCGCAGGCCCGAGCGGCGGGCGCCGAGGCGCGCGGGGGCGGACGGGCCGCGGCCGGGCGGCGCGCCCACCCGGGGCGTCACGGCCCGCGCCGGGACCCCCGCGCCCGCGCGACGCGGCCTCTGGCGCCCGCCGCCCCCGCGGCGCCGGACTCGTCGGCCCGGCGCGCGCCCTCCCCCAGCAGCGCCTCCGGGGCGCCGCGGCGGGCGGGGGAGCTGCCGGCCGGCCGCGCGGGGGGGACGCCCCGGGGCAGGAGCCCGCGCGGGCCGGCGGCTGGACGCGCCGGGCCTGGGCTCACCTGAAGGTGGTCAGCGAGAAGCTGTAGCCGCGCTCCGCCATCTTGCCTCCGCGTCGGCGCCGCGCCCAGCGCCCCGCGCCGCTTCCGCCCCTGGCCCCGCCCCACTTCCGCTCCAGTCCCTGCCCCTGTTCCCGCCCCGCTTCCGCCCTGGCCCCGCCCCCTCGCGCTCCGATTGGACGCGCGGGCGCGGCGGCCTCCGCGCATGCTCAGGGGCTGGCCGCGGGCGCCCGACATGGCGCCGGCCGTGCTGGTGCTGAGGGCCCCGACGTGGCCGGCCGCCCGGGCGCTGCTGCGGAGCTGCTGGCGGCGCCTGCTGCCCGGACTACAGCCCGGCCCGCCGTGCGGTAGGTGCGGGCGCCGCCGTCGGGCCGCGGGGCCCGGCCCCGGGAGAAGGGCTCGCTCCCGTCCCCGCGCCCCGCGCCCTCGTGTCCTCGTGCCCTCGGCTCCCGGCGGCCGCCCGAGGTGTCCGAGCGCGGAGCGCGGCGTGTCCCGGAGACTCGTCCCCGCGGGCGCTGCTGTGGCACGGCCCCGCCCCTGCCCCGTCGGGGGTCCTGCAGGGCGGGTGGGCGTCGCCGTGCAGAACTGCGGCCCGGCCCGCCCCTTGCCAGGTGCTGGGGTCGCCCTTGCCCGGCTTCTGCGGGGGAAGCAGCCGCCCCGCGCCGGGAGGAGGTGCCGGTCCGGCGTCTCGGTTCCGGCTCGGCCGCGGCCGCAGCTCCCGGGACCGCTCGTGCCCGCCGGGCGCCTGGCGGGAGGCGCGAGTCGGCGCAGGGAGGGTCGGCGCAGCCGCTGGGCTCGCCCACGGCGGGCACCGAGAACACCGTGAAGCGATACCTGCGTACTTGGCTGTAATTATATTTTTTTAAAAAAGCCCCCTGAGGGTTTTACCCGATGATTGGAGGAAGGACGAGGGGGACTTGGTTTGGGTGCAACGAGGAGACCGCTGGACGGCCGTGCTTCTGATGGTCTTAGGCGTCTTTGCAAAGTGATTCGATTCTGCCCACCTAGTGGACAACGAGGGTTTGTTCGCCTCCCTTAGCCTTGTGTGCGCAGGGGCCTCTCGGTTTTTATTCATTTATCAGCCGCCGACCCCCGAGTTCTGTCTTTCTGTAAGGTGTCAGGCTCCTGGTGGCAGTTCACAGATTCATTTCAGCAGGTGCTTCTCAAAGACCCTATTTGTTTGAAAAGTCTGCTTTTAAAATTTGCTTTTGAGCGCTGTACTTGAGCAGCTACGGTTTCCTGTTGAATGCCTTTTTAATATGATCTGTTACTTGTCGATCACTGTTGATGGTTAGGACTCTACAGTCATGTAGAAGCTCGTCATTGACTGAACAAAAATACCCTTTATTTTTTATGTTCATGTTTTATTTTGTAGGACCGGTATTAGCAGTCCAAAATCCAGCTCTCTGTACAGAACCAGCAAATGATACCAATGGAGATGAGATTTCCAGCCTTTTGGATGGTATCTTTTGGATGGCAGCTCCCAAAAATAGGCGCAGCATTGAAGTGAACCGGTGCAGAAGGAGAAACCCTGAGAAGCTTATTAAGATTAAGGTACCATGATTGATGTTGGCATGGTTTTCCTCTTGGCTTCCTCTGGTTATATTCCGATAGGTTATGGGTAAATTACTCTTAGATCTTACAGTTCTGCTTTCCTCTGCCTAAATAGAATATTTTTATTTGTATGAGTGTCTGCTGCCTTAATACCAAAATATTAGGAAAGCAAGGTGGGGGTTTACGGTCTTGATATAGGATTGGTTGGAAACTGGGAATATTGGTGGCAGGAAATGTCCACTGGTGAAGGGTTGGGTATTTGAACATTGTATGACTGAAACTCAGTAAAGAATGATCTTGTAGCTGTGTGTCGCATGGTGATTCAATAAAAAGTATTAAATAAACTGTTTTAAGTACACAGGGCTGTACTTAAAATCTGGAACCTTGAAACCTGTTTCATTAAAACAGTAATATTTTATAGAGTTTGGTTGCAGGAATTTTAAGATTTTAGGAATGCAGTTTTGCACTGATTTTCCTGATTGTATTCATTCTGAGGAAAAAGTAACTCTTTTAGTATTCTTTTTTTTTTTTTTGCTTTTGGGGTCACACCTAGCAATGTTCAGGGGTTACTCCTGGCTCTTCACTCAGGAATTACTTCTGGCGGTGCTCAGGGGACCATATGGGATGCCGGGAATCAAACCCGGGTCGGCCGTATGCAGGGCAAATGCCCTACCCGCTGTGCTATTGCTCCAGCCCCAAGTAGTATTCATTTTTTTCATTGTTCAGTTTCTACTAAGTCTGTTTTGCTAGGTACTTTAAATATTAAAAGAAACACTAACTGTAGATATCTTCCATGCTTCTAGCTGGACCTGAAGTTTAATTTCCAATGTAGCAGAGTAAAATCACTAGTTAGTAAAGGAAATGATTTGCAAGGTTATTTTAAAAAGTGAAATTGTTTATTTCACAGATGTTCCTTTGTTAATCTTATGAAGTGTTTGGAGTTTTTTGACGCTTAGCTTACTCTGTTCCTTGTATTTCACTATACCTTTAGAAATGTTAAGACTTAGCATGTATAAATGCCGTATTAAAATATATTCATAAATATGTATGAAAACTCATTAAAATACCCTCTTAGCATAACTGGGGAGTTTACTGTGACACTAAGGAATAATCAAATTTGATTTAATTTTAAAAAATCATGGCGTATACTGAACCTGTAGTTTAGACAGGAGTTTTTTCTTAATTGAATCACCATGAATGACAAAGGTACAAAGGTATTTATGATTTTCAGGCATACAGTGTTTCTACACCATCTCTTCTCCAGTGACCACTTACCTCCATTAGTATCCTCAGTGTCTTTCCTACATACCAGCCTGCCTTGGTTCCAGGCACTTTTCCCCTCCACTGTTGTCCGCGTGTTCCCTTCCCTAACTTACCCATTCCCCAACTCCACCCCAGTGGCACGCCTCCTACTGAAGTCCAGTTCTCCTGCTCTTGATTTCTGTGCTATTCCCTACGTTTCTTTTTAGCCCACATATGAGAGAGATCATCGAGTCCGTTCCTCTCCCACTGGCTTGTTTCACTCTTCACGTTAACTCTCCAGATCCATCCTTGTAGCAGCAACTTGCCTGACTTCATTTTTTTTTTTTTGAAATGTGAAGTAGTATTCTGTTGTGCATATGTACCATTTTTCTTGTTCTTGGGCACTTGGATTGTTTCAGATTTTTGCTATTTCGAATAGTGCTGCAATGAACATAAAACATGCAGGTGTCTCTTCTGCCTTGTGCTTTTGGGCCCAAGGAGCGGAATTATTTAATTCCTAGTTGTTGTTGTTTTTGTGTGTGTGTGTTTTTTTTTTTTTTGAGTAATGTCCATATTGTCTTCTAAAAAGGCTAGACCAGCCAGCATTTCCACCAGAAGTGAATGAGGGTCCCTTTTCCCCCATATCCTTGCCAACACTGTTGGTTGTTCTTTTTTGATGAGTGCCAGTCTGTCTGGTGTGAGGTGAAGATAGGAATTTTACTTACACAGTGCTGAATAAAGAGAATGCTCCTTTATTACATTTTTATCATCTTGTTTTCCCCAGATTTGTTTAATGCAAAAGGTGAGCTCCTTGGTCTCATTGTAGATATGACCAGTATGAATCATTACATTTTGTTGGTAGACTCCTTACTTACTAGATGTTTAGTACTTGAAGATGGGAGAATAGAGTGCCATTTGCAGAGATTTGACTGCTCTGTCAAGTCAAAGTGTACCTGATTCAGAGTAGATAGAACTGAATTCTTGTCCCAGTTTTTGTAGTTTAGATTCAATATTGTTTTTCCTAAGTTCCTGTGTTAAAGTGGGATTGAATTAGATGGTGTATTGCCTCAGGTAGCGTGTAGAGTCCATAAAAGTTCATTTGTAAGCATCATGCCTATAGGTAGTCGTGATGTATTTTGCCTATTAAAGTGGTTTTTGTTTCTGTTTTAAAGAACAATATAGACGTTTGTCCTGAATGTGGCCACCTGAAACAGAAACACGTCCTCTGTGGCTTTTGCTATGAAAAGGTGCGCAAGGAGACTGCAGAAATCAGGAAACAGATCGGAAAGCAGGAGGGGGGTCCTTTCAAGGCGCCCACCTCAGAGACTGTGGTGCTTTACATGGGAGAGACACCGACTGAACAAGATAAGGGCAAGAGGATCATCGAACGAGATCAGAAGAGACCATCCTGGTTCACTCAGAATTGATAATAAAGATGCTTTACGGATCTGAGTTCATGTGAAGGAGAGAAGGCTTTTTGGTTTTGTGCTTGTTTTCGTATCATCAAGTATAGCTTAAATACTAAGTTTTGTCTGGATAATTTAGGGAGTTCTGAACCAATGGAAATGTTTGCTAATATAAAACCTCAATGGATTAATGTCTACTGCTGTACAGGGTCTTAAGTAAACAAAATCTACAACAGAAAAATTAAGCAGCTTCAAATTCATGGCAAGAATTAAAGTGTTTCGCCTCTAGTTTTGCCAGTGTTTTTCTTTTTTTGTTTTTGTTTTGGCCACACCCACTTCCTGTACCTACACGAATCAATCTCTACCTCCACAATTGGCCTTTATTGTGATGATGAGATGAAGCGACATGGTGGGACATTTCTTCCTTGGGACTTTGTAGTGATCCTGTAATACGTCATGTTAACAGTCTGTCAGAATATAGTGACTAATTTCATGAGATATAAATACAACAATAATATGTTGAAGTGCTATCTGGTGACCACAGATCCTTAAAAATTCCAAAGATTTGGAATCCCTGTAAACAACGCTTTGACTGGATCTAAGAAATAAGATTGAGATTTTGCAGGAATTGGTTGTTTGCATTTTATTCTTACCAAGTAGTTCTGTGTATAATGATTTTTCGTTTTGTTTCATTTCTGGCGCCACACCCCACTGTTCAGGGCTTACTCTTGGCCCTGCGCTTAGGAATTACTCTAGGTGTGCTCAGGGGGCTGTATGGGTGCTGGGGATGCATAGGAAGAGTAGGTAGAGGGGGAGGATGACCTCTAGAACTGGTGAGTAAAGTGGGATATGTTTCACGTATGAATTTCAATTTTTTTTTTTTTTCTTTTTGGGTTACACCCGGCGATGCACAGGGCTTACTCCTGGCTCTGCACTCAGGAATTAAGCCTGGCAGTGCTTGGGTGATCATATGGGATGCTGGGGATCGAACCCAGGTTGGCTGCGTGCAAGGCAAATGCCCTACCTGCTGTGCTATCTCTCCAGCCCCTCAACTTTTTTTTTAAAGTGAAGAAAGGTAATTTTTTTATTAAACCTGTTTAGAAAACGTGAGAGAAGAGTAAGAGGGAATTCATCCAAGAAAAAACACAGATTTCTTCAGAGTGGAAATAAGCAAACACAAGCAAATGAAATGCTTGTCCAAGGGAGACACGGGTGCAAAAAGCAAGCTTGAATTTGTAGTCTTGAAGCATGGTAATACACACCCATGGTTAACCAAAATTAAAAATTATATAAAAGGAAGACTCCTACAAAGTTACCTTGGTAATTTATCATGATAAAAAAATCTTCACTTTGGGTCTCGAGAGAGTGCCTGGGGTTAAGATGCTTACCTTGTTCTTTTTTTTTTAATGGTTCATAAAGGTTTGTTAAAATTCAGATTAACTTTTATCAAGGTCAGATTTTTATCCTCAGGATCCATCCAGATGACTTTCAAATGGCTCACAGCAGGATTTCTCTAAAATTTGCCCCGAGAAGCAAACATTACATCAAGTCCCACCCCGGTTTGATCCCTGGCACCACATATTACCAGGTGAGGCCCCGAAGCTCATGCCCCCACCCCTGTTGCCTCCCCTCCCCCACCCCCCGCCTCCCCAGTACCTTCAAAAGCCCTGGCAGCCAAAGCCACACCCCTGTCCCACTGCTACCATGTAAGCTCATCTACTGGCCTTGTTACAGGGATGCATATATCCTGAACGATTGTTCCAGAGACTCATAAATAGCCGCAAAAATGTCTTGGATACCCAGTCCTGGCTGAGACTTCCGGGGTGACCGCAGGAGGGGGGTGGGCCCGTTCCTGTCCTACCAAAGCCCCACCAGCCACTCACCCCCCAAGCCACTGCCCTACTTCTGGCCAGACTGTCCAGTTAAATATTCCGAATTTTCTGGAGCACATGGCCACATGACATCTCCAAACTACAATACTGAACACACCAGGTTGGGTGGGACTGTAACATGGAAACAACCAGTCTCAACTCACAAACACATTAACACAGAGCCTTAACTTGCAACAACAGCTTAGTAAGCCCTTAGACAAGGACTTTAGATACAACAATTTTCACAAACTTTCTTTATGGAAATTTTTTTTATCATTCCGTTAGGCATTTAGTGGTAACAAGTAATATAAAATAATAAATTATTGTGTGCCTACAATAAGGGCAGGCTTGAGGGGTGGCTGGGAAAGTGGAGATAATGGTGGAGGGAAGGTGACAGTGGTGGTGAGATTGGTGTTGGAATATTAAATGCCTGTAACAAGTCACTATGAACAACTTTGTAAACCATAGTGTAACTAAAAGTGGGGAGAAAAAATAATTTAAAAACAAAAAAACCTCTAGTTGCAGCAAAATCACTCGGATACAGAAAAGTCAATATATGTCAAACATTATTGAAAAAGTATAAAAATTTCTTAGCAAACTAGAAATAGATACGGTTTGTTTAAATAAACATAGTTATGCTCTTACTCTTGAGGAGGGTAACCATAAGGCCATGAGTGAACACCACATTCAATGGCAAAGTGCTGAGGAAGTTGTGACTCAGTATTCCTGCCGTTCACTTCTGGCTTTAGATTCTCATTTGGTAGATCTGCTGTGAATCTTACAGACTTTCTGATGTATGTAAGCTCTGTTTTTGATCTTGCGCTATCAATAATCTGTCTCTGTCTTGGGCTTTTGTCATTCTGAGTATAATTTTTGGACTGTTTTTATTTGTTTTCTCTGGAATCTCTCAAAAGACCCGTGGAGCTGAGTGCTTACACTCCTCAAATCTGGAAAATTCTCATTTATGCTTTCTTTAACTAGTGGTCCTTCATCAAATTTTTCTGGTACTACTCATCCCATAGTTCTCTGGACTGCTATTCATTTCCTTTCAGACCTTTTTCTATCTTGTTTTCCGTATGTTTCTTGCATCTCACTTTGAAGCTCACTGATCTTTTCCTTTGCTGCTGTTATTCCGCAGCTCAGAGCTACCTAGTTTTTATATCACCTATCATACTTTCATTTCTGCCATATTTGACTGCAGTTTTCTCATTTCAGCATTCATACTTTCTTGTGCTTTGTTGACTGCCAGTGCCGCTGTTTCTTTGATGGCGTTAAGCATCCTCAACGTGGTGTCACTAAAGTCATTCTCTAGCTTTACAGAACTGGTTGCTAACGGGTAGAGCCTGTGTGTCATTATTCTTATTAACTTGGTGAGGTCCCTGCTTCTTTCCCATTGGGTCTGCAGTGTTCCTGCGGTGGGGACAGTGAGGATTTGTAGGTAGCCACCGGAGTCACTGAGAGATTAGGCTTGCTGATGCTGTTTTCTTCTCTACCTGTCTTTACCCCGTCACAGGAAGTGTCTGAGTGTGGGTTTTGTGGATTGTGATGTAGAACTGTCACATGGTCTCATATGCTGTATGAACATACATTCACACACAGAGCTGTGAGCATGGGCCTGTGAGAAGATGGTGGAGTGGGTCTGATGTGGAGGCTGCCAGAACCGATCTGTAAGGGAGGGCAATCCATTTCCAGGTCCCAAAGGTACCAGGGATGTCAGCTAGGAAGCTAACCTCACTTGGAAGGTTGGAGGAGCAAGCAGAGGTTCAGTAGGTGTGGAGGTGGGCCTGCTCGGAAGATTGGGGGGCCATACTTGGCAGTGCTCAGGAATCACTGCTGACAGGGCTCAGGGAACCACTGGGGGTCAAATCCAGATCGGCCAAGTGCAAGGCAAGCACCCTGTTCGTTGTGCTAGCTAGCACTCCAGTCCCAGTTTTGAGGGCAGAGAGACAGAACAGGAGTTAAGGTGCATTGCTTGCACGTGCCGTATCCCAACTCTATCCCCAGTACCACCTGGATGCCCAGTCATCACTGGGTGTGGCCCTGGGGCCCACAAATATTGTCGGATGTGGCCTTACCCATACACCTCACCCCCACCCCAGCTCTGCGTTGCCCTGGACTCACTGAGCACTGCTTGGGAGGTCCTGCAGAATTAAAATTATTTCTTTATGTTTGTGGATGCTGTGTTGCAGCAAAGCCTCTGGGATGTCAGTGATTTACAGTTATTCGTAGTTGCTCATTAGGCGTAAAACACTTCAGCACCAATCCCACCACTGTGTCAAGATCCTCCAATAGTGTCCCCAGGTTCCTTCCCTTTCCCCCAGCCTTCCTCTTTCACAGGCACCTTTCAAGTCTGGTTGTGGTTCAGATCTACTGTTGTTATTCCGTTGGCTCTGGTTTGAATATATACTATTCTACCTCATACTATCCCGCGACCCTTCTACTCCACCCATGCTCCCCAGGGCCCTGCTCCTTCCCCAGTTACTTCCTCGATTTCTTTCCTCCTCTGTCCTCCTTTCTATATTCTGGGGTCAAGGGTGATCAAGGTATCCCCCTTTTGATACCTGGTACTCCCCCGTCCGGTTAGCTCTGACACTTGCCTCAGAGAACCATTTCTCGTCCCGCCTCCACCTCCTGTATGCTTCAGGAGACCAGGTAAGTCCCTCAGTATTTCTAAATCTGTGCTAAGGATCTCTGTCTGCGGTCTATAATTAGCGTTTCCTTTACTGGCACACTCACAAAAATGGAAACTCTATCTTTAGCTGTGATTGTTACGGAGCAGTGTCATTCTGTGGGTAATGTTGATGAGTAACATTTTAATTGCGCCTTTGTAACAGTTGCTACTTCACTCATTTCTGCAGCAGAAACTGCATGCCTATGGGGACCACCTCTTCCTGGGGTTCTTTTGACCCGCAGTTCCAGGAAGTTCCGCGCCTTGGTGATGCATTTCCCAAACTCCTCTCCTGCCTCATTGACCTGTATTTTCAACTTCCCCAAGTTTGCGAGCTTGTCAGTAAGTCAGGGATGCAATCTGGAGCAAGTGCAGAAAGAAAATTAGAAGGCCAGCATGCTCTTCCGGAAGTGCAGAACCAGTTTGAAGTTTTCATCCCTGCAATCAAACCCCAGAGTGCTGCAGTTGGCCAGGCCTCCGGAGCCTTCTCACTAGGGGGCAGCAGATGACCGGCACCTACTGTCCACCCACAGACAGTCCTGGAGTTGTGCTGTGCTGGGACATGTGGGTTCTACAAAGACTATGGATGGTGAACTGGGATTTGTGCGGGGAATAAGGGCTGCGTGAAGCACTGAGGGAAGGCATCCTGCTGAGAGGACCTTCCAGGGCACACAGCTCCAGCTTCTCCTGCTCTGCCCCCAGCTTCCTGCTGATGCCCAGAGGCCGTCACTGTCTTGTGATACAGGCGT